GATGCTTCAGAGCTTAAAGACATTTATTCAGGACAAAATAACTTTGTACACTTTTCAATAAAACGCCATTCAGCTTTTCTCTTTATGGGGTCAGCAATGTGCTGTGATCGATGCTTCAGAGCTTAAAGATATTTATTCAGGACAAAATAACTTTGTAAACTTCTTAATAAATTGCCATTCTTAGGAATTTTTGTTAAATATTTACTTATTTTTTGTGGGCCATTCTGTCATATTTTAGGTCATATTTTGCCATTTTTAGGGCATAAATGCATGTATATTTTCAATGTTTTTAGGTCATAGAAATCCGAGCCCTACTGATGATATATGCCAGCTAACAGTATGCAGTAACAGATATATTTAATTAGAAACATTTCTACTTTTATATACTTTCCTCAGTCATTTATATTTAGAATGTGAGGGGAGGTGATTATATGCAATGAAAATCAGTGTCCAAATTTATCTCAAACCGTCTCTGTGGTCAGCATTCCTGGCCACAGATTCAGAGGTCCATGTTCGATTCCCGGCGCTACCAGATTTTTTCTGAGAAGTAGAGGGTCTGGAATGGGGTCCACTCAGCCTCATGATTATAATTGAGGAGCTATTTCAAGGAAATAGCGGCTCCGGTCTAGAAAACCGAAATTAACAGCTGTGGGGATTCGTTGTGCTGACCATGCGACACCCTCTATCTGCAAAGGTTGGAACTAACCTTCGCCGACAAACTGTGGTCACTCGGTCAGTATAGTTCGCTTGCAGACTAAAATCACGGAGATATGTAAATACTGCAAAGAGTAATTTTCCGGAAAAAATTTATACAAAGTTAGTAATTTGTGTGACTATAATTAGGTTGTAACCTTAGTTCCTTGAATGGAGTCAGATTAAAAATATTAGGCAGTTTAAAGTTTGGAAATGTTTGACACCTGTGTCTGGGAGGGTGATGACAATGTGTAATTGAAACAGGCAGGCAGTATTCCAAAATCATTATTTAAATTTTAGGTATGACGTTATTAACAAAGTTTATTAGTATCTAGTTTAGTAAAATATGTTCCTGATAGTATAACTACTGAAACTAGAACTTATTTTTTGATTTGGATGCTGGAACTACTATACAAGTAATTAGATATATCCATTGAACTTGAAAGTATCCTTCACACAACACTCACGCCATAGCTTGTTATGATGATTTAGGTTCCATAAGCACTGTGCCTTAAAAACAGTCCGAACTAGTAGTTTTTACAGTGTTAAGAAAACTTCACTGTCAAATGGAGTTATTTCAGTAGGAAGCAACGTTTCCATTTATTAATTTAAGAAACAATTCTGCTGACTCTGTTTCAGTTGCAATGCCCAATACATTAACCAGTGAATCTACAACTCATCCAACTTCAACTGTGGCTTTGCATGAAAGTAATGAAACATTGAATGCAGATTTAATTGAGAAATTGGAGGAACTAGAAACATCTACAACTGGTGACACTGAAGCTAATACAGAATTTCTTATGGAAACCTCAACTCCAGCAGCAGAAAGTATCATCTGGTCAAGCACAAAATCTGACAAAATAAATAAAATTGATGGTGATAATTATTTGACTACTTTAAGAAGTTCTACAGAGACAGTTATTTCCACTGGAAGTTCATTGGAAAACACAACTGTTACGCTAATTTATCCACCAACTTCAGCAGCTGTAGACAGCAATAGTACTTCAGTAACAAGTGATATAAATTCTACTGAAAGAAGTGCTGAGCTGCCAACAGATAAACATGTTAAATTTTCTGCAAATATCGAAAACAAACATTTATTGCAAGAAATCAAATCAGAAAGTTCTTCTGATTCTCTTCCAGTAAATGGAAGTATTTCCTTAAAAAGAGATGAAAATATGTCTCTTTCATCACACAGATCTAATCATGAGAAAGTGAAAGTCAAGAGACATGCCAATGTGGAAGACAAGGAAGGTACGAAAATATTGAAATAAGTGTTTGAATTTATAGCATGCCTTTTACAGTTACTCTATACATATTATTCAAAATTCAAGAAAGTGCACTTTAAAGTGTTTCTCTTGTTTACATTTTTTGAGAACCATTACATAGAAGATTTATATTTCTCCATGTTTGGAGCAAAGGAGGTGCATGTTTATCTTGATATATGAAGATATAGACCTATTTTAATATACATTCTGCTGATACAGATATTTATAAGGTTTTTCCTGTGTTAATGCTCAAGTTATTTTTCTTTTCTTCTACCCTGAAGTATACTTAACACTTTCATTCTGTAGTTCTGTTGACACATCAGATGCTGTTGAGGTTACCCAGATAAAGAAATAATAATGCTCTCATTTTCAGTTTTCATTTCTCATTTAAAACTGATACAGATGATTATACTATCTTTATATTAATATTAATGATAATTATAAGAGTAGGTATAAGTGTGATTGATTCAGTTGTGTGAATTTGAGTGTGTGTGTGTGTATGTATCAGCAGCTGGGCTATATCACTCATTGAATTCATCCTTTCTTGAGAAGCTGCCGATTGTGCCATTGAATTCAGCCTTTCTTGAGAAGCTGCCGATTGTGCAACTACTCGAACTTCCAAGCATTTTATGGAATCTGAAGGTTCATTACCATGTTCACAAAAGCCCTCCACTGGTCTCTATCCTGAGCCAGTTTAATCCAATCAATACCATCTTGTCCTATCTCTCTAAGATCCATTTTAATATTGTTCACCCACATACTTCTTGGTCTTCCTAGTGGTCACTTTCCTTCTGCCTTTCCCACCAATATCCTGTATGCATTTCTCTTCTCCCCCATTCATGCTATATGCCCTGCCCATCTCAACCTCCTTGACTTGATCAATCCAATTATACTTGGCAAAGAGTACAAGTTATGAAGCTCCTCGTTATGCAAATTTCTCCAACCTTCTGTCACTTCATCTCTCTTCAGTCCAAATATTCTCAGCACCCTGTTCTCAAATGCCTTCAGTTTATGTTCATCCCTTAATGTCAAAGACAACATTTCACACCCATACAGAACCACAGGAAAAATTATAGTTTTGTATATTCTAATTTTTATGTTTTTAGACAGCAGACAGGAAGACAAAATCCTTTGGGCAGAACGGTAGCAAGCATTATCCGAATTCAGTCTCCTTAATTCCCTCCTGAATCAGGTTTTGATTTGTTAGTCATTCCCAAATAACTGAACTTTGCCACATTTTCTAAGGATCTGCTAGCTATCTTTGTCACTATTTTGCTCTGCATTCATGTGATGAAACAGCAACACATACTTAGTTTTCTCTGTTTGCTTCTAGACCAACCTCATTAGCAGCATCAATTAAAGTTTGTGTTTTTTTCCTCATGGTATCTAGTTAGTTAGTTAGTTAGTTAGTTAGTTAGTTAGTTAGTTAGTTAGTTTTAGAGAGGGTGGGTTTCCCCATGCACTTAGACCTGTAGTGGTCCATTGTGCTTCCCTCTATGATTTCTACCAGCCTCTATATCCTGCCGGTATTGGTGCTTAACCATCAGTCCCGCCCAGCCAGCGAGACCGGCTCTACTGGCTGAGAAGTATCTATAATGCTTCCCCCATCTACCGGAGGTATTAGTGACTGCTGTCGGGTGGCAAACATCCGCAATTTTGCTCAGTGACCTCCTTTGGAGGTATGAGGTTCTTTTACATGCCGCAAAGCTACGACACGGGACCCACGGCTTAAAGTCCCTCCCGGAGGACTTGTTCCCTGAATTTTTCCGCCCTTAAAAATTCGACGACCTCCACCGGGTATTTGAACCCGCGTACTACGAGTCATGAGGTGGGGACGTTACCTCTAGACTACGGAGGCCGCTCTCATGGTATCTATATTATCACCTAGTAGATTCACATCATCAGCATAGATCAACAGCTGATGTGTCCCATTTAATTCCAGTCCCACCCAGTTTTCCTGGACCTTCCTAATGGCATATTTTAAAACAAAGTTGAAAAGCAGTGGCAATAAAGCATCGCCTTGTTTTAGGCCATTATATGGACTTTGCTATTTATTTTGTTTAAATGTATTTTAATCATCCTAACTAGTTTCATGGGTATCCCAAAGTCTATGGGAATATTGTACAATAATTTCCTCCTAACTGAACCATAAGCTTTCTTGGTCTGTGAATAGCTGATTATTGTGTCATTGTACTGCCATTTTTTTCTCCAGTATCTGATAAATACAAAAGATATGATCAGTAGTTGATCTCTCATGTCTGAAGCCACACTGATGATCGCAATAATTTAATCTATACTGTGTATGGACTTAACCTTGAGAGTAGAATATTGGATAGAATTTTGTATGAAGTTGATAGCGGTGATATCCCATGATAATTACTGCACTCAGTTTTATTACCCTTCTTGTTAACTGGTACAATAATAGACTCCTTCCACTGATCAGACAATTTTCCTTACTCCAAATAGAATTAAATAAGTTATGGATCTTGGAACATAATATTTCACCTCCTGCTTGAATCAATTCTGCTGGCATTTGATCACTACTTGATGATTTATACCTTTTCAACTTTGCAGTAAGTGGGCTATATAGTGTACGATATCATGATGAATGATGAATTGGAAAAATCTTGGAAGAAAGTGATCATGGTTTAATCAGAGTACTGTCCTGACATTTGACTGTAGGAACTGAAGAAAACCATAAGGACCTAAGTTGGGAGGTTTGAATACAGCACCTTCTGAACTGTACTGAACTATATGCATCATGAGGAAAATCACAGCATTGGGACTCAGACAAGTGAAAGAAAAAATTTGCATCTCTCCGAAGTAAACAGATTTCTTGTTACATGAAGATTGAATCCATAACCTTAGCCATGTAACAGCATTCTGTGAGGTAGACTTGAAATGTTGTTGCCTTAATGTGTAGGTGCAATTTCTCATCCTAGCTTGGACCATATAGAAAGTAGGCTTTTCAAATGACAGCTCTAATATTACATGGGAAATATATCTTGCTTCAGTCATCCTAATGTTAAGCAAAGAGTACACATTACTAAGATGCAATGTTGTTGTATTCCCCACCCCTTGCTGCTTCTTTCACAGAGCAATAGCATTTTATTGACACCAGTGATATGTGTTCTTCTTTTAGTGAGAGACTTAAGTTTCTCACGCATGCAAAAAACATATACAATTAAAATAAATGTTAGGTTTTTGAAAACCACACCTGTTGAACTAAAGATAAATTGAAATTCTGATTTTTTTAAATATGGTGTGTTATACATTATTTTCTTTCTGATGACTTCTTTTAAAATTTGGTTTGAGCAAAAAATATCTCATATACACTTAACACTGATTCTTTTGTACAAATGAAACTACATATTTGGATCTGTCTGTACCAAGTATTTTAAGTACAAACACCTTTAAGTCAAATCTGTTGATATGAAGCATATAATGCCTTACCCGCTACTAAATAAACTCGTACTAGTATATGCGATCTATATCATTGATAAAATTTTTATTTCAGAGCAAAGAAACAACCAGACAATTAATGGTATCAACCGAGCAGAGCAGTCAGGAGAGGTGTTGAGAGGTGTTATTCGAGCAAATATTTTTTCCTCACAGACTAAGCCATCAGCTGTATCAGCTCTGATTCCTGAGATTGAAATGACTTCTGTACAGCCAGCAGATAAGAGAGAGATACCTAGATACTGGGAAAAGGTATATTCATACACTTCTTTTGGAACTATGAGTAAAATAAAAATGCTGTAATGCCAATTCAGAAGAGAATTAGAAAACCTCTTAGCACTTCTCAAACCTCTACAAATGTGATGGAACATTGAACTTTGAAATATATTTTATGCCTTCATTATGCAATCTGCATTCTTTGTGCCACTCCAAACCCTGTGTATAGTCACATGTGCCAAATATCTGAAACTTTTATGCATCTTTAAATTAAATTCAATTGCAATTTCAGTTCAGGAAAAAAAAAAAACTCTCGCAGAAGGGTATCTGCTCTCTCCGAGTAAGGTGCCACTGTCCTGTACAGAAGTGTCTGCTTTGAATTGGCTGTGTCAAACATAGATATGGACAGTCACTGCTTTCGTACTGTAAAACAAGCCCTCCGATTATTTGGATCCCATGAGAGAATGCAGGTGGACTCTGTTTGCTGTAATTTTAATATTCACTGTTGACCTGTCACCTGAGATGTAAGATACTGCTGTATAAAATGTAGATTCCTGCCTTTAACCATTCAAGGCAGACAGAAACCAAAATGGTCAAAAGCCCATTTCTGGAAGCTTTAGCATTGGAAGCTAATACCTATTATATGCTTGAACTCCAAGCAATCTTTGAGGTCCCTACACCATAGTTTCTCTTCTGCAACTTTTGCCATAATTTTTTTACAAGGACGATTATTACCACCAAATTTGGTCTCTTAAGTTTGTTCAAGATACCTGTTTCATTAATTGATTTAAATGATGTGCCTGAAAATCAAACCTAATTTTATTTGTATTAGTGAACAAATATTGTGTCAAAAGGTATCCTGTGATGCCATCAGAGCAACAGGACTGTCAGCAGGACTGGCTCTGGATGAGACAGATATTGAGCTTATGGGACTTGAAGAATTGGAAATGTGTGTTGATACTCTGGGATCACTGGAACTAGATAGTAAATTGCAAACAAAAATATGGAGTCTTGTGAATAAGGTGAGTACATGTTTAGTATTAGATTTATAAGTTCATTTATTTATTTACCTATTTATTTACTCATTCATTCATTGTGATATAAGTCTTTAATCATAACATAAAAGAACTTCTAATCCTTTCACAACAGTACAAATAATTTAGAGATACTGAACTAGAATAATACGAAGTACCCATTCTTTGCACAGAACATGGTTGCTTATTTTGTTGATATCACAGTATAAAATAGACATATGTTAAAGAAGGAATAACATTGGAATTAACTGATTAAAATATATTCCTGTAATTAAGAAGGAAATGCGGGTTTGAACAGTATTCAAAACCTTTACTGAAACACTTGTACATCATTTAACAGCCTTAACTACTATTCATGTAGTAAAGAGCATGTCATAAATTTCATAATATCGGTAGTTCTTTATTAGATTCACAACAGGAAAGAGGATACTGAAGAAACAGGACAGTCAACACCTTTACATGCATTAGAGAGTGAATGTGTCTTTCATTCATAAAAAGACCAAATACATACAGTAAACTCCTCATTTAATATACATTAATTTCAGTTTATTCCTCATTTAATGTTCATTTTGATGATCTGAAGTCAATAATCCATTTTAATTTACCTGCATTTCAGATTATCTAGATCCACTGGTCCCCCCAAAAAGCTAAAGTGAAGGCTGCACATGGAATCATGCTGTGAGAAGTCCACACTTGATCATAAAATGGATAGTTTACAAATAATATGACACATCTCTTGCTTCTCTGGAATAGATAACATGTCTTATTCACACAGTATGAGTATGAGGGGTGAGCCATAAAACTGGCCCTAGCACTGCGACCTTCAGTGGTCTATTGTGCTTCCCCTTTGGATTAACCCTTTATTAATCCTACATTTTGAAAGAAATGTAGGACATTGTTTATGGGGACGTCATAAAACTCACTTGGTTCCATGAAGAATTGATCCAGGTGTCGATATCTTAAATAAGCTATAGCCTCACAATCACATAAGATGTGTGGGGCTGATTCATCTTCTTGTAAACACCTCTCACAAATTGGATCCTCTGTCAGTCCCAGTTTGGAAAGGTGTCCATTTAGGTGGCAGTGTCCAGTAAGTAATCCTACCACCCATCTGAGTTGATCTCTGTTTAATTTTAACAGGTCACTCATTCTTTTGACAGAGGGTCCTGATATAAATCCTTTTGCTTGTTTGAGTCCAGTTATGGAATCTCAGTGTTTTTTTGCGATTTCTGTTAGTCCAGGCTCTGATCGCTTTCTTGGCAACTCCAATTGAGATGCCGCAAGCTGGTTCAGATCCTATGAATGGTTGTTCATATCCTGTTCTTGCCAGTTGATCTGCGGTTTCATTCCCTACAATACTCTCATGACCTGGCACCCATATCAGTTGTTGGCCAGTTGTATGAGGGATTGGTGGCAGTCCCAAACCAATTTTGAAGTGATTTGGTGTGCACCAAGTGCTTTAATTGCAGCTTGACTGTCTGACAAAATATAGATGTTCCTATTTCTATATTTCCTATCTAAATTCTCAACTGCGCATACCTTAATGGCATACACCTCTGCCTGGAATACTCTTTTGTACTGACCGAGGCCGAAGGTATGCTTCAGCCTCGTTCCATCACAATACAAGCCAGCTCCAGTGCCTTTATTTGTCTTGGAACCATCTGTATACCAGATTAGTCCTCACTTTCTATCAGGTTGGAACCCCTCTTTCCATTCACTTCTATCAGCAAAGCTGATTGTGAAGGGTCTATCATAAACATGTTTCGGTAGCAGTTTATCAGATCCCATCTGTAGGATGGGTTCTTTTTTCATGTCCCTAGTCATGTATGCATGTCCAAAACCTTTGGATTTAGGTCTCCATTGATCATTGCAACGTAATCTGTAATTTCCTAACTTGGCCTCTGCTTCCATCGGCAAATGCAGTGGAGGGGGTCCTAGTAGGATTTCCATTGCAGCTGTTGGAGCTGTCCTCATTGCTCCTGTAATTCCCAAGCAGGCTATCCTTTACAGTTTGCTAAGTTCTGCCTGACTTGTCTTGAGTTTAACTGTAGGTCACCATATAGTGGTGGCATAGGTGATTATGGGGCATATCCAATATATCACTTTTGATGTCAGTCCCCAAGTCTTCCCAAATGTGCCTCTGCATGTCCAGAAGGCTATATAGGCCTTACTAATAACCTTATCCAGCTGTTGTTTCCATGTCAGCCGCTTGTCTAATGTTAATCCAAGGTACTTGACTTCAATGGATAGCTGGATCGCTTTACTGAAGAGTATTCGTTCTTTGAGCCCCTTTATAGCCCTCTGCCTAGTAAAGGGTACAATCACAGTCTTGTTTGGATTGATAGACAAGTTTGTCCTTTCGCATCATTGTTGAACTGTATACAGGGCTGTTTGTAAGACCTCTGATACAGTGTGTGGAAATTTCCCATTAATTAGGATTGCTATACATCAGCATATCCTACTGTGAAGTGGCCTGTACTCTTGAGCTCCCAAAGAAGATCATCCACGACCAGGCTCCACAGGAGAGGGGAAAGAATGCCCCCCCCTGTTGACACCCTCTCACCGCAGATGCTCTTAAGGTCTCGCCAGTCAATGTAGCACTTGTATTCCTGCTTTCCAGCATAGCACAAATCCCTCTGCATATTGCGGGCTCAATGCCATGCCTTTCAGCAGCCTGTTTTATTGTATCAAAGGAGGTTCTGTCAAAGGCTCCATCTACATTAAGGAATGCTCCAAGAGTAATGTCCTTGTATTCAATAGCATTCTCTATGTGTGTTACTACATTATGCAGTGCAGTTTCAGTAGATTTACCTATTTGTTAAGCATGTTTCTTTTGGTGCAGAGGATGAATTTTCAATGCACTGCCCCTATTATGTCTGTCTACCACTTTCTCCATTGTTTTCAAAAGGAAAGATGATAGGCTAATAGGATGATAAGCTTTAGCCTTGGTATAATTGGGTTTCCTGGGCTTCAGAATAAATGTCACTTTAACTTGCCTCCAGGCCGCAGGGATAAACCCATGCACCATGCATGTTCTAAATATGCGGCATAGGTGTGGGACTAAATGTTCCGCTCCTTGCTGCAGCAGCCCCAGTACAGTACCATCTGTTCCCGCAGACTTCAGTGGTTTGAAGGTACCTAACACCCATCTGATTTTTGATTGATTGATTGATTACCCGACCAGCCAGGTTCCAGTCTCCCCTGTTCGTTATGTATCCACATTCGCCCAGGTTCTGCTGGCCCCACTCATCTACTAAATCATCAGTTAACTTTGAATCTGGGAAGTGAACTCTGAACAGTTCCTTCAGTGTTTCTTCTCCAGTTTGTGTATACTTGCCACCAGGCAGCTTGATAGAGCTGACCTTATTGGTCGCCTGTTTCTTGCCATGACCTTCATGAGTCTGGCACTGCCCGGTACGTCATTGATCTCCTGGCAGTACCTCCTCCATGAGGATCGTTTGGCTTTCTTTATTTCTTTATTGTAAGGGGTGAGTTTTAGGTGTCCCACTGCCCTGTCCTTTTCGCTATATAAAATAGCTTTCTTGTTTTAACTCTTAGCTTTTTATTCCACCAAGGTGCATTCCTTCCTAAGCGAGTGGTCTTGGCTGGGCAATTATGATTGATAATAGGACAAGATAATGGCCCATTGCAACTGGTCAACAGATCGATCTGTGTCCCTTATCATGCATATATTTCGCGAAATAGTCTCCAGGTTCACCTTTAGGCCGTCCTTGTACGACTCCCATTTGGTTCTCCTGGGCTTCCTGGAGGTAACTTGCTATGTTATGTTACCTATTTGAAAGCATATGTATCTGTGGTCTGATAGGGACGGCTCATCAGATACATGCCAATTACTTACCAGATTTCCAATGTTATTTGTCCCTAGTGTCAAATCAATAACCTTCCTATTGCAAACCACAAAGGTAGGTTCGTTACCACAGTTTAGAATATTCAGGTTCGAACTCACCAGAAATTCCATAAGGCTCTCTCCCCTTGGGTTAGTGCTGGTGCTCCCCCACAAGATGTGCACATTGGCATCACACTCAATGATGAGTTGCTTTTTCCTGCTACAGCAGTAGTCTATGATGTCCCTCATTTCCTTAGTTGGTGGGCGTTCATCCGAGTCATATGGAAGGTAGACTGAAGCAATAATCATCTCCTTGCTGCCTCCTCGATACGGGTATGTTATCCTTACCGCTGTTGTATCCCTAGAACAGAGCTTCAGCAAAGGCAAGGCATTAACACGATTCCTGATATAAACACAAGATCTTGCATTGTTATTGGGTACAGCAGAGTAAACTGTTCCCCCTGTACCAGGTGTTCCTAAAAGAATGGTGGGGTTTCATTGCCGTATACCTCCGTCAGTTTTTGGTGATGAAAAGCAAAAGTATACAGACTCATAACGCAGCTCTCAAATTTTCATTTGTATATCGCGCTCTTTCCTAGTTCCATTTCCGACAGTTAGGAGGGGTGAAATGTAAGATGGCGACCCAGCAGGAGAAGGCCTATTGCGTGCTGAGATTTGAGGTGTCTAAATCCCCGGAAATAACTCCACGTGATTTTTTCTTATGGGGGTACATGAATGACATGGTTTATGTACCCCCATTGCCCCAATCGTTCCAGGATCTCCGAAACAGAATCAGTTGTGCTGTGGAGACCATCACACCTGAAATGCTGCAGCAGGTATGGCAGGAATTCGACTATCGCATTGATGTGTGCCGGGTAACGAAAGGTGCACACATAGAGGCACTTTGATGGATGTACATAAAATTTGGACAGTTAACCTTCCGATTGACACATATTATGATTGTACATGGTAAGAAATACGAAATATATACGTATCTAAAACCCCACCATTCTTTTAGGAACACCCTGTATTATTTAAGCCCCTTATTTGACCCTTGTGTAACCAAGGTTCCTGAATAAGTGCTATATCTGCCTTACCCTCAGCTAGCTGTTGGCACAGAGCTGCCGTGGCAGCTTTGCTGTGGTGTAGGTTAATCTGAAGAAATGCAGACAGTCTTGATCAGGAAGGGAGCTTGGGACTAAAAAGAATTCAGCATACTTTAACAACTATCTTTTCAGGAAGATATTTTCCATGTTGTTTTACTCATCCATTCAGAGGAGCTGAAGCCTTCTTTAATAATCTATTGCATAGGATTGGATTACATGAAAGTGGGGCAAAACTTGGGAGAGGCACCTGACCCAATCTTTCCCATAATTCTGGAGTACTGGCTTGATGGATCCTGAATGTTAGAAAACTATGTCATAAGAACGTAGGTTTTATGAATTCTGTTTAAACCTCCACTTTGTTTTTTCTTGTCTTCCCATGTACTCTCCTTGAATGCTGGCACATTTTCAGAAGTAACATGCAGCAGTATATTTGCCTTGCCTAACATTTTGATTTGCTTTGTAGGACAAATTGCTGGAGAACTTGTCAGATTTGGGCCACCTAGTGAAAGTTCTTGAGGTTGATGATATTTCCAAAATTAACTTGAATTTGAGTTCATCTAATGCTCTGGATAACTTAGCTACGTTAAGTGAAATGGTTACGGACACTCATGTTGTAAGTACAGTTTACAGAACTGATTTGTTTTTAAGTTTACTTATATTAATATCTGCATCTCTGCTCCTAGGTATCTAGAAATTTCCAGTGACATGAAGAAATCACTATGGAGTTGAGTCCTCCTTGACAAGCCGCCACTTGCTCAGTTACTTAAGAATTGCTCAAGAGTTACAGGACTCCCGAGTTTCATCACTCTGTTCACAAGAACCTTCCATTGGTCCCTATTCTGAGTCAGATAAATCCAGTCTATACCACATCCTATTTCTTTAAGATCCCTTCTAATATTATCCTCCATCCTATGTCTAGGTCTTCCTACTGGTTCCTTTCCTTCTTGCTTCCCTATCAATACCCTGTATATATATATATATTCTTTTTTTGTGTCTTTTGTGCATGCTACATGCCACACCCATCTCATCATCCCTGACTTTATCATTCTAAATATATTTTGTGAAAAGTACAAGTTATGAGGCTCCTTGTTAGATAATTTTCACAAACCTCCTGTTTCATCGAGCTTTGGTCAAAATATTGCAAGACCCTGTTATCAAATGTTGCAGCCCGCGCCCTTCCCTCAATGTCAGAGATCAGGTTTCACATCCATGACCTTATTGGGGGTTGGAGGAGGGGATAATCAGTCATAAACAGTATAAATAAACAAATTCTGGAACTTAATATTTAAGCATTTATTTATCGCTATTTTAACAGCTCCATGAAGTAGGAAGTCATTTCCTGAAGAGCAATCCAGACATGAAGAAATTGATCACTGAGACTACAGTGGCGCTTGGCAGAATACTCTGTGAAGTATTAACAATTTCTTCCCAAAAGCTACATGACCTGTTAGAACATTCAGTGTTTCTTCAGGCATCACCAATGCTTGGGAGGATGAAGGACTGTCCCACTCATTGTCTACACAAATTTGTCAATTTGGCAACCAGAAATTCTGAATATGGTCCTCTAGATACATGGACAGCTGAAGATGTTGCAACATTAGGAAGTACACCAGCAGGTAAAATGTTAGGATTAGATTTTTTTTAATTTCTATATCAATACAGGATTGGACGAAGAATTTATAACACACCATAATACAAATACAATACTTAATAGAAGTTCAAATACATGAAATGTAAATATGTAGTTATTACAGCTGTTTAAAAATATCATATATAATGCAGAATGAAATAATTATGTAATTTTGTAATACTTCATGTTGTATCTTGAAATTGGCTCTAAATATTCTATCACCAAAAGGAAAACAGTGAAAACAATGAAAATTGACTGCTCTCTAATCTATAGCATGAAATGCCTCTTAACAAAATATCTGCTTTCTTTGTGAGTTATTTAAATAACGGCTCTGTCATCACCTAGACTGTATAGCATCTTGTGACAGAATAGGTAAATTTTAGTGTGTTCTTAATGTCTGTCAGTATCAAGACTATATTATCAGTTATAGGATGGTTAATCAATGTGGATCAATTGGAGGAATTAGAATTGGCAAGGGAAACAGAAGTAATAAGAGAAATTCCAGAGAAATTTTATCCACTACGAATCCCAAATGACTTGACCTGGTGGCAAAGCAAGGTCACTTCATGGGAAGCTGGCAACTAACTGCCTGAGCTGTGTAGCATGGCCAAGAATGGGTTAGTTCAATAGTGGGAGCAAGTAGTACATTACCTTAAATACAAGGAAGTCTGGGCTGTATATTTTTAACTGTAAAGATGCAATGAGTTCCAAGTTGGATGTGTGTAATTAACACACACAATAAAGAGAAATAGCTCATAGAAAAAAATTTGAGGAATTCTGAGTAAATTAGAACTCTGAAATCCTTGTAAAACTGAAACTTTCAGAAGATTGCTACAAATAATTCATAAAGAATAAGAACAGAGCCTCACATTTACTTTGTTGTTTATCTCATTATCTCCATAAAAGGTGATTGATAGCAGCAGTGGTAGTCATGATGTCCAAAGTAGTTTGACCCTATGGATCTGTTCTGGCTCTTTTCTGTGTTTAACCTTTAAACGCCGGACTTCTGAAATAGTGGTAAGCTTGAGCTGGCCGGAGTTTATTTAAATGCCCGCTGCTGGTGCGCGTTTAAATGCCCGTTGCTACTCTGCGTTTGAATGTCCATTTCTGTTAGTGCACCTAAACAATTTTAAGCATTGTGTTTAAAAATGCTGTATCCTAACTCAATTTTTATGATAAATGGATGGAATTAATTTTGTTTGTACCAGAAAAGAACATACTGTCGCATATTATAACGGAAGATTTGAAATTTTTTATACAAATTATACTCCATTTTCAATTTTTTGTCTTTTAATTTTGATGAGTACTGCAAAAATGATTTCTCAGGTCTTCATAGTTGTTCTGCATTACAAATTCATTACTGTTTGTAACACTTGACAAATTTTAGCAGTACCTGATGTCATAAAACAGATGGAAGCAATAAAATCATTTGGCCTTCTGCTAGCACTGCTTACACTCTTCGGATTTTCGAATCTTTTGACTGAAGGTCAGAAGAATGAAAGAATGGCTATTCAAGAGAAAGCTAGAGGGGTCCCTTCTTCAGTGCTAAGACATTCCGTTATAGCTGCAAAAGCTTATTGCCCTTTCTATGGGCCTGAACAGACAGCTGCATCGCGGCTGAGATTCAGAGTGCGGTCTGTTTTCTGTGCGTGCTCAGTGAAATCGAATACTGTAGTTTTATTTAAGCCTATATATACATCAAGCAGATAACAACAAAAAGGTATGTTCATCGAATTTTACTATATATTTTTAACAAATTAATCTGCAGAATCTGCAATAAAAGTACTGGCTCGTGGATGAGTTTGGGCATAACTCATACGTATACTCTTTATGTTGTTGTTCACTTAGGTATCATTTTAATTTTTCTATTAGGGCTTTACTCAAGTCTGTCTGATAATTGCTACATTTAAAAATAAATATTTAGGACTGTGCATTCGCTTCTACTAGCGGCGTGTGCGCGCGCTTCCCCTAGCAAGTTTAAATGCCTGACTGGCCAAAACGGGGTACTTTGGCCACGACGACCTTACTCACCACTGGCACAAATGGGGCACTTCGGCACTTAAAGGTTAATCTCAAATGGTTCTTCTTGTAATATTTTGTTTCCAATTAAAAGTCAGATTTGCTCAGGAATTTAATATTTATTCATTGCATATCTGTATCTCTCTGCCCTCCATATTCTTGAATTTTATTTATAAATTACATTTGTTTTGCCCGTTTTATGTCAATGGTTTTTGAGTGAATATCCAGCTGCTAATTAAGGAAATTACATGACATACCTGTTAAAAGTAAGCTTAAGGAAACTAGCAAGAATTTTGGAAGATCTGAAGTGGCTTATCTAAGTTAACAGTGAAATTTGAAATTAAATTTCAGGTCTCAAAGCAGAACAATGGAGAAAATTAAAATCAACTGGATATGGTAACAACCCACTTGTTGGTATAAGGCCTTCTGCTATTAGATGTATTCCTCCTCAAATATTTAAGGTTAGTGATATAAATGAACAGATACAAATAATATTTATTACTATAGATGAATATGACAGAAATTGTACTTATAAAGAATAGAGAAAGGTGTTTTAATATGTACCAATTTATGTAGAATTCATTGAGTTTCAGCAAGAATAAAACGTATTTGTGTCATTTTTATTTCGATTTCAGCATTCAGATTCACCCTAATAAATCATTGAGCCATTTATTTCAGAGAGACTGATAGCAGAATTATAAAGAAGGCAAATGTGATGTTTTATTAATTTTCAGGTTCTCAAGCTCCTCATTACTGGTTACTCAACTGCTGGTATTTATATGTATTTTTCAAGTAAGACCTGGTACTGTTATGTTTAGTATGGCTTAGTTCAATATAATTAATTTAATTTTGTATGGTTAGTTCACATTGTCTTAATTCAGGTTACTTTAGTTACGTATGACCGTAATTTCATACTGTTTATTGCTGGGGGCCATATGTGGACATTGAAGCTTCTACCTTGATGGACATTTTAGTTCAAACTAAAAATAGCTTAGTGGACAGTTCTTTTTCCTTTCATGTTCCCGCTTTTATTAACAATTTTCACATGCCAGTATTAAGAAGCAACAGCCATTGGTCAAAGCTTAACTTTGCAACATCTCTTCAAATATAATTCAGTCATAATTCAGAATCATCAGATGTATGTGGGGGTTATTATATATATTTCTAAAGGTTTTTATGAAATTTAATGCACTTGCAAAATTTCTCTGCCTTCAGTTTTCAGAGAAAGCAACCGTAAGGTGTGTCATAACTTTACTTTTTTTAGCTTGTCTTGATCAATTCTTTTTCATAAATCTGTCTTTTGGCTCTTACCATAATTTTTCTTCATTCTTCAAAACAAAAATTTGTATTGTTACTATAGCGAATTATGCAGCTATGCAACAAATGTAATTTTTTAACCCTGTTATTTAATTTTAAATGTATTTACAAGCATTTTTATGCTCTTAAAAAGTAATATTCTATATGCAAGACAGGGCACACAATCACAGTTCTTCTGTCTGGACATGAAGATTATGGCAACGTCTTCAGAATGCAATGTGTCTTTGTTAACACACGGCCAAATTTACCAACACAGTGGTTGTATGTAATAACACAGCACAATAATGTGATGCATTGCCAATGAAACTGCGTTATATTTTATTAAAAGGTAAAGCTATTCTTGTAAGAGGCTGTGGAGGCCCATAGGGTTGTGAGACATCGAGGCTCCCACATTTTCTAGAGAGTTAGTTCACAGATGGTGGTGAGGTTGTCAGTCTTACGCACCAGCGACCTCTTACCCCTGAGGAATATTCCTAATAGTCATTTCTGTTGGAGGCTGAGTCGACCCCAGTGCCATAATGCGGCTGGAAGGATTAGGTCAATTGAATTCTATGACATCGGGAATCGAACCCACAACTTTCCAGCTTGTAGCATAGTGCCTCAACTAACTATGCTACTGCATGCCCCTCATTATGTTTTATTACAGTATATTACTTATTTCACCCCTCACCAATTCAAAATCATAAGTATAAAATGTTAGGCCTAAAGAGATTTTGTGAATTTTTTGGCTAAGTACAGTTTGTGCCTAAAGACAGATCTTGAGAAGGAAGAGACTAGATCTTTCAACTGTAATTAATTCTTGCTAAATAGTGAGACAAAAGGACAAATGGCAAAGTTTAAGCTTGCTAATGATAACAGCAAATAAGAGTAGTGGGTAGACATTACATGACTGTGTGTGGTTTTCTTTTTCTTCTGAAAGTTTATCCATAAGGAAGGAGAGAAAACTCTTTAAGACACCCACTCAAGAAATTTGTCATACTTGTGTGTTAACCAAGAACAAGTTCATCATTTTTAAATTTATTGTTGGGTGTGTATCTTCACTTGTGTTTGCATTGTCCCTTATGTAGGTAACATCAGGAAGGAAAGTTCTGTATAAGTGCATCTGAAGTTCTCACTGGGATATGGATACTTGGAAGTTTATTAAAAATATAATCCAGAAAATTTATAAACGATGATACAATGGCCTGTATCACTGAGAATGACAGTCTCATTCCTATAGTAGATTGAATATAACATGTTTCTGCTGCAGCTGAAACTGTTTTAAAATCAGAAATGATTTGTGACCTGTTGACTGAACTATACTATTAGGGGGCAATTGAGTTATTAATGAAGAACAAGTTATAAAATCAGAGATTTGATATTTTCATAGTGGTGATTTGGGTGTGATGCTGTATAGTCTTGTAGAAGTTTGCTGATGTCTCCCTCTTCAGGGTGAAGGAGGCAGTAAATTCCTCTAAAGATTCGGTAAACTGTTACCATACTACAGGTGTGACATCCTAGAATATAGTATTTTTCATGTTCAAAAATGAATTTTAGGTTTTCATGATGGTGACTGTAACGATTGTCTTCTGGGCTGTCCGACCATGTAGTTCTGTAGACAGGTACTGAAGAAGATTGAGGCAGCATGTTCCTCTAAATTATTGGTACTTACTTACAAGACTATATGGCATTATATTCCAGTGGACAGTAGTTCTATATTTTAATCCTGACTTCTACAGTTACTATATGAGGTTTTCTTTTTAGCAGAAAGTGGGGTTTGATATGAACATTGATTCACTTTGAGAGTTTCTCATAGCAGCTCATTTTTCTGTTTGTTCTGTTGCTGAGTGCTCAGTAAATCATAATGTGATATAACTTTTCAGTTTTACCTAAATTGTTTCAGGAATTGGATGATGACCAGCTGAAGTCATTGCCAACACTGAGTGCAGCTGTGGTATCACAAGAGCAGCTGTCCCATCTCTCACGATCACAACAGTTAGCATTAACAAGAATACAAAAAGAAGTACGAATATTGAAATATTCAGAAGATACAGACTCCAGTATAAAACAACAACATAAACCAAACGGCAGTGCATCATCCACAGACATTAACTTGCTAGTCATAGTTGTGTTAGCTGTGATCTCTAGGTTTATTGCCTAAATGTGTGTTGTGTAATATATTCTGTACTATATTGTATATATATATATTGTATAATAATGCAACAATCACAGATTTTATATACATGTTTCTATTTTCTATTTAATGTTACATATTTTTGTGATATTGTTCTCCACAAAGAATAAAAGTGACTTGTACAGTATTTCACAATTTCAAATTTTGGTCAAACATTTAATTATTTTGTCATCAAGGTACTTTGTTTGCGTGTGTGTGCATGCATGTGTAACATTGGCTAGTGTAGGTGGGGCACAGCACTGGCTATTAAACTTTATAGAAAACCCACTTGCAATTGTTGATATCTCTAAACTTCAAATCTAGTCTTCCTCTGCATGTCAAAAGAGGAATAATCTGTTTAATGTAATTAGAAACCTAAGATGTTATCTTCAGCTCAGTGGTTATCCCGAAGATTTCATTGAGTCGGATATTGTTTGCAAGGGTAGAATCGTCAAAATGAAGAGGAAAAGCATCTTAGATCTGGATATATCCCATTTATGAAATTCTTTTCAGAAGTTTTTGAACATGTAGGGAACTAAACCAGCTCTTAGGATTTCACTCGTGTAAACCAGACAGGAATGAGATCTGCAACAGACAGTATACAGCATTTGTAGCATTCTCTGTGAATGTGTCAAACTACAATGGCAAAATGGACTGCTAGCCCTGCAACTCTGTGATAATAGGCACATCTCAAAGAGTGTCTTCTAGAATGATCAGAATTACACCAACAAGCCTTTAAAATGGTCATAGGGTAGGTTGAGATGAATTTAGGATATTTGAAATTTAAAATATTAGCAGGTATAGGAAATAAAGGAATCTGTCCATACGCCATGTTGAACCAAACGATCAGCCAACTTGGTTTGGACATTTCTCCCATGTGCATTCCATTTTCAGCAATGAGGGTTACAACTCTGGGAAGGTAAGTATGATCTGACAGATACTTCGTTGGTACCTATACGATATTAGTTCCTGGGTTAAATTTTTATTCCACAGGTGTAGGTAAATATAATTTTACAGCACGGAAATCTTGAAATTAACCCCATACATTGGTGTTCAAGGTGTGGGTTTACTGGCCTGTCTTTTTTTCAACTTCCTTTCTTACCTTAGTGCCAAGTCTATACGTGCAATATCACAATTTTTATACATTTTCATGTTATCTTCCCATTGACAAACCCTGATCTTTGATGGGACCTTAAACCAAAATTTACCTGATGACAAAGACAAGCAGCAATTTGACAAACCCATCTAGATTGGTGTCTGCGTAGGAGAATTTTGCTCGAGTCACTCCCAGTAGAAGGCGAGTAGCCAGTAGCAATCTCATCCCTCCTCTAACTGAAGAGGAGACCCTATTTAAAACACTTAAAAGTCTGCAAAAGAACAAAACTATGGGTCCGGGCAGGACTCAAAACCAAGAATGACTGCTGGTGAGGGTGAGCAGCAATTTACCTGACTGACACAGGCTCACCACAGACAACAGTGACTACTACTACTACTACTGCTACTGCTACTGCTACTGCTACTGCTGCTGCCGCCGCCGCTGCCGCCGCCGCCGCTGCCGCCGCCGCCGCCGCCGCCACTACAAGTATTTTATTTTTGTATGTGTGTTATTCATTAGTGCTTCAGGCCGTAAATCCTCGAAAGACAAGGTGTATGTTCAAAAAATGATTTTATATTTTGACATGGAGCCTAAAAGCCTAAATAGTGGGGTCAGAGAAGAGTCCCGAAGGCATCTGATTCTAGGTGCCATTTTGTTAAAATATATTTCTGAGGAAACGAATAAGCACGCAACAGTGGGAGTATTGGCGATGGTGTTTTCTGTTCTATTTGTAGTGCATAGTTTTTATTACCTGGACATTGTGCTAGTGCCTACTCAGATAAATCCCACTTTTCATCAGGGGTCCATTTTCAAAATAACATTGTCTTGGAATGAACAAATATTTGGGCATGGGTCCTGATGGGGCCCGAAGCCAAGGCTGGCAGTAATTTACCTGACCTACTGACAAAGCAACGACATAGGTTGCCCAGTGATTGAGGGTAGCTATTTCTAACGGACACAACAAAGTAGGTGTCTCCCACGCCCACACTACAGGGTGGTAAAAAATCCAATTTCCAAAGGAGTGTGTTCTTTAGATACGGGATGATGAACACAGTTAAAAAACCCAGCAATCCCGTGTATTGCAAATATTACAAATAATAATCCAAATTTAATATCTAATTCCCTGGAATCAATAATATTATAATTGCGACGGTTCAAAATGTAACTATTAAAATAACGATTTTAAAAAACTAGAATAGTAGTGGAGCTCTTCATATTTGTTTATTTTGCACATTTCTTCTCCGTGTAATTGGCTAGTTAGCATGGTAAAACCTTGGCTCATAAATATCACTTACTGCAAGTCAATAATGGGATACCACTTGAAATATGAAAATGTAAACCTCAGGACTTCAAAATCGCCCTGATTTTATGGAATGTGTCACCCACACAATGCAACCAACTTGCCTTATTTTACACACCTGTTAGGGCAATACACATTTGATGAACGCATTTCCATCTCTGGGAGATTATCATTAATATTACAGGGAAATGCTTATAGTGATTTCCAGAATCATCAACAGAAAACATTTTTTCCATTCACGATTTTCACGAGCCCTATTCTCGAACCTAGGATATTTGGATAAATTTTGCTCTGAGAAATACACACGAAGTTCTATGCAAGTGGTCAAAAACTGTTAACTTGCACTTGTATAAATTTTATATTTATTATGGACGCCTTATTTGAACCCAGACGCTCTTGAAAATGGAATTGTAGCTAGTCGTATTATAACTGTAGGTTATCATTTCACCATTACAAGGAATCGGATTTTGAAATACCCATTCTCTGTTATGCATTAAATGGGTTTATTTACCACACTAAAGCTTGACGGCTTGACAAATAGAATAAACATCTCGAGGGGTGAGGAGGCCGTCTTGTTCGACATACACAGGCTTTGTTTCTACTGACTCGGGGACTCTGATTTTATTTGAAGGCGCGTCCACATTACTCGTGCTCGTGCTCGTGCGCGCCAGGCTTGTGTCTCGGGAGACTGGCCTGGCTTTTACTTGTACTCGTAAATCTTCGTCCACACTACTTCAGTTGCTCGCCAGGCTTCGGCGCGTGAGGATCCGTATATTTACTCGTAGTGTGTATAGGCTGTAGTCGTATTTTAATTTATTGGCGATAGTTTTTAAATTAAAAATTTTAAATTTGCTTTTCTCGTGACTTGTCATATAGTCCACATTACTCGCGAGCATAGCGAGTCACACGAGCACGAGCACGAGTAATGTGGACGCGCCTTAAGGGAGAAGAAATCAGTGTCGGCTTGTCCATTACAATAATCCGTCCAGTAAAGTAGAAGTATCCCGATGGAGTAGAGTTCTTGAGAAAATAATGGTAGTACAGCTATTCAAGCAGCTTTTATGGAACCCGAAAATTCAATACCGTGTTCAAAAGAGTCTGCCACTGGTCCCTGTCTTGCAACAAATGAATACAGCCACAAACTCGCATCCGTTTCTTCAAAATGTGTTTTCATATTATTCTCTCATCTGCCGAGGTAGTCAGGTTGGTTTCTTACCTTCACTCTTTCAGACCAAATATTCTATTTATTTCTCAGATTTCATATGTGTACTATATGTCTTACCCATCTCATCTCCCCTCATTTGATCACCCTAATAATATTTGTTTACGTGTTAAAATTACGAAGCTCTTCATTATGCAATTTTCTCCAGCTTACAAATTCTTCCTCTCTCTTAGCATAAAATATTCTCTTCATCAATTTGTTCCCAAACATTCCCAACTATTGTTTTCCCCAAATTCTGAGAACAATTCATACCCATACAAAACAGCATGTAAAATAGTAATTTGGTGTTCTTAAGTTTTTACATTTTTAGATAGTAAGGGGAAAAACCGACAGATCCTAAAATAAAGGACTGTGAGTCTTCTTCGAGCATAACACATTAAATCATAGCAGATAATAAATTTATACCTACACCTGCTTTACCCTTAAAATTCTGCATTTGACTACAGATTGTATTTATGCCTTGCATATGAATCTCAGGCCGGTCACGGTAACCGAGCGGTCTAAGGCATGTACTGTCTTCGCTCGCTTGGAAACCGGGATCGTGGGTTCGAATCCCTCTCAGGGCATGGATGTTTAGTTTGTGTGTGTGCATTTTTCTGTGTTTGTATACAGGTAGAGGCCTTGCGACGAACTGATCACCCGTCCAAGGAGTCCTACCGAATGTGTAAGATCTAGAAAAACCGAAGCGAACGGAGAAGTTCATGGAGGTAGGCCTAGGCCCACTGGGGCTGTAGGGCCAAGAAAAAAAAAATATGAATCTCAGAATTAACAGCTATAATTGTCCTAAACAACATCAACTGGCTGGTCTTTGTAAAGCACATGTACTGTGTTTTCTGTGAGGAAAACACCGAGTTTTTAAATTTTATTTATATGTTTCAAGGGGTTAGGTAAGCTAATGCTCAAATTATTCCCTGTTCCCAAGTAGAACTGCGTGCTTCTCGTGTAGTCCTCCCGACTTAAATCAATCAAAATTACCCTCCCACATTCCCAATTCCCCCGCTTCTCGAATTTCACCATTAATTCGGAAAAAGGAAATTTTGCGGCCATTGTATCAAATAACTACATCTAATCATTTGAACGTCTTTTAGGCTTCGAAAGGTTAATCCGCTTTTAATTTCAGTAGAGGGAATCAGATCATCAATTACATAATGAAACCCACATCATGCTTGGTAAATTACCTAAAATAAAAATGAAAATTCATTTCAACGCTGATTCCTGTTAGTATATGCACACCGAAAAAGAAAGAAAGAAAGAAACAAACAAACAAACAAACAAACTCCGTGGCCTGTCATCCGCAAGCGAACTATACCAACCGAGCAAGCGACCGCCGCTTGTCGGCGAAGTTAGTGCCAGCTTTTTCGTACAGAGGGTGTAGCGTGGTCAGCGCAAGGGATCCCCACTGGCGTTAATCTCGGGTTTCTAGACCGGAGCCGCTATTTCCTTGAAATAACTCTTAAATTGTTCTCACAAGGCTGAGTGGACCACGTTCCAGACCCATTTTTTATTGCTAGTTGG